TATATGTATATATCATACATAAATACATGTATATATTTTATACTTCATATTCCTGTACAGGTGGGCAATAAAATCGTCCTGGTGACCCAAGCACTGGACAATGAGAAGTATGTGGGTCAGGTGGACTTTGAACATGATGGCTACTCCAATACCCACTTGAAGAAAATGGAAAAAGGAATGCCAGTCGACCAAACGACTACAGGTTAACACCCGTGGTTTTTTTGTTATTGTTATTGTTTTTTATGGTTTTTTTAAGTGGTTGTTTTTTTTCTTTCTTTTTTCCCCATATGTTTGGCGAGCGTTATAGTTTGGTCTCGTCCTTCTACTTCTTTCTATTTTTCTTCTTTTTTGTACCAATGTCTTAATCTACTCCTGGTTGAAGGAAGAATTTATCATTTTGAGTTCGTCTTGATTTTTTGTTAGTTTCAACTGCTGCTGGACGAAAAGTGCAAAGTTGGTGGACCTTCTGTTTCAGTTTCAGTTAGGAAAGAGTAAGCGTTTTACGGCACTCGTAATTGCAAAAGGTCATATTATTATGAGCGAATGGGGCTCACATTGGTTGTTCTTTAGACCAATGTTGCAGTGGGAGCCATATTTATTGTGTGGGTGGTTGGCGGGTGCTCTGGTGTGGTTTGCTTCTTCTTTCCTTATCTCCCCTTTTTCTTTTTTTATGTTTGTTACTCTCTTGAAACACCTCTAATCTCCTGGCGCTCATATGACCTTATGCAGTTGCGAGCGCCGTAAAACTCTACTAAAACTAAAACATATTTATTGTGAAGTAAAATTGTTGCATTACTTTTTTCATTTTAATAGTGCAGCACCCATATCGAGTATTCCCTGGACTACTAGTTCTAAATGCTTTTTACAGAATCGAAAAATATCAGATAATTAATTATGCGACCATTGTCCGGTTAGTTCTAAGACAGCCCTCGTAATTATTTCTTTACAAGCATTCTACACTGTAGTTGTCCTGTGAAGACATGGTTAGGGATTGTATTTCTAAATTTAATAACATTCGCTACCTTAGAATTACAAAGTTCTATCTGACATTTTTGGCCGTTTTGGGGGGGGGGGGTTGAGTTACCGGAACTAAGACCATGAAGTCAGAAACGAAATGTTCTACCTGTTCTATCAGAATCGTAAGGTTATTTGGAGTCGTTATCAAGATATTCAAAGAATTGTATTTCTTTTTTAAAGCTTGGCATGTTGTGAAATACAAAATGTGTTACGACACGGTGGAATCAGGCACTTGTCAGTTTTTGGACATGTGGAGTTGTTAGTGTCATCTTAAAGCGTGTTGATTGGTCTATCTTTCAATGAAAATGATACCCATCCACACTGAATAGAAGCCGAGATATTTGCCATTGAAAAAATCGGGGTCGCCTGATTTCAGAAGTAAAATAAACGAAGAAATGGCCGCCAAAGTTTGGTGACTTCTATAGGTTGAGAATACTTATCAACTGAAAATGTTGCACTTTTTGTTAATCAACGTTTTTTAAAGTAAAATCCACCCTGAAATGTGTTTTTAAAAGGATATAAAAGGTGTTAAGCCAAAAAAAAAGAAAATTCGAAAAAAATTGCTCAAACTGTCATCAAAATGCCAATTTCTTTGAACTCATTATTTTGACGACCGCCTGATTTCACCACGATGCCTCACAACTATTTTACGTCCAAGTTCTCTAAACTAGGTACTGAGTAGATAGAACTTTGTGATTCTAGGATAGTGTGTTAGTGACAAGAAAATTATTGAGTCCCAGGGATTTCGGACGAAAAGTGTTCCAACAAATTAATAATAACATTATACTCTTCAATTCCAAACAGTTCACGTTACGACTCTGGATAACCTGATACAAGCTGTCAGCTTCCCCAGAGCCGTTCTCAAGATAGACGTCACGGACAACAGAGAGGCCAGCATCCTCTCAGCCGGTATGTCATCACATAGAGATTTACGACTACTTATTGGATTGAATAAACAAAAATAAGTCAATTGTTTCTAAAGTGGTACCTGTCGTCATCAATCTTCATCCTTTCCTTTCTCACACTGCACAAAAGAACTCACACCAGAAACCGTACAGCGTTGTATCTTTTTTTATTGTACACGTATCCCATTTTGCGTTGAACTAAAACTCAAAAAGAACCCGAAAAATCAACAACTACATCTCTCTCAACTATAACTGCTCCCCCCCCCCACCCCCACCCACCTCCACCCACCCCTATCCCCACCCCACCACACCCCACCCCTACGAACATCTGCCCGCACTCCCCTTTTTCAGGTTCAACATTCTTCAAAGTCGTGGACGTCCGTTATGTCCTCACTCACTGGAGCACCTCCTCTGGGAAAGACCACACGGGCCTCATGATGGCCCTGGCCAAACTCGGGTACGCCCCTAGCCGGACGTGGAACGGGCCCACCCTCAAACTAGACCACCTGAAGCAGGACCAGACGTTCCTGGTCTGGAGCAAGCCCAAGACGACGGATACCATGCACTCTGGGGTCACTGTGTAGTTGTTGATGATTTGTACTGTTGTTGGTGTTGATGCTGTTGCTGTTGTTGTTGTTGTTGTTGTTGTTGTTGTTGTTGTTGTTGTTGTTGTTGTTGTTGTTGTTGTTGTTGTCAGTGTTGTTTTTTGCTGATGTCAGTGTAGTTGTTGATTTGATTTATGCCTTTGATGTTGATGTCAATGTTGAGTTTTGTTTTTGTTGTTGCTGCTGGTGATG